ATGCTCATCACGGGATAAATGTGCATTACAGATGTGGGGGGATTCAAAACGCCCTTTTCTCGGCATAAGCTGTTGGTGGTTCTCCTTGTCCCTTCCCCCAGCTAAGTTTATTTTTCCTGACTGCCGTTCCTGACTACACTCTGTTTGCCTCACTGACAACTCCTGGGAGGGGGCCCGAGTTTCTGGAGGTGGAATGGATTATAGATGATATTATAGACCAGGACTGGAAGATACAAAGCTCGTTGGCGGTTGGCCCATTCCCTGTGAGCCCCGTGTAGGAACCTACGCCCAGCCTTTTGGGGGGCTCTGCTCTGGAGGAAATCCTAGCTCTGTCTTATAACGAATGGGATACCTGCTACTGGACATTCACTCATTCATTCAACAAACACTTCCCGAGCACTTGCTGCCTGTCAGGTACTAGGTTCACTGTCGCACATTTGTGATCTCATTCAGCGCTCTTCCTAACCCAGGAGCCGGGCTGTCTCCTCATTTGACAGAGGTGGTTGGTTTGGTCAAAGAGATATGAGTAAAAATCTCCTCTGACCCCTACTTTTGTGCTCTTTCTGTAATGCATTTTATTTCTATGTCTGGCATAAACTCCGCAATACATAGTTATTATATTTTTATTAAACAGTAGTGGTATTTTGTTTACTGTCCTAGGGTTTAGAATATACATTTTTACTTTTTCACCGTCTGTCTTCAAATAATATATCACTTCATGTATCATGTAAGAACTTTGTAATAGTCTGCTTCCAATTCTCCTATCTTTTGTGCTGTTGTTCTCATACGTTACTTTTATTTATTCTATTAATCCACAATCTTTTGCTTTTTTTTTTTTTTTTTGGTGAGGAAGAATGGCCCTGAGTAACATCTGTGCCAATCTTCCTCTATTTTGTACGTGGGACGCCACCACATCAGGGCTTGATGAGCGGGGTGTAGGTCTGCTCCCAGGATCTGAACCTGCGAATCCTGGGCTGCCGAAGTGCCTGAACTTAACCACTACGCCACCAGGCCAGCCCCTAATTTTCTTCTATTTTTGCTTTAGACACTCAACATTTTAGAGTGATTAAAAGGTCTTTTATACTTACCTTGATTTAAACAATTTCCAGAGCTGATCATTTCTCTGTGTAGATCCAAATTTCTGTAGTTTTTCATATTCCTTCCACTTGAAAAACTTACTTTAATGTCTTTTAGCAGAGATCTACTGGTAATTGATTATCTCAGATTTTGCTTCTCTGAAAATTTAAAAACATTTCACTTTCATTTATGTAAAGCACTCTTTCCCGGGGGTAGAATTCTGTGTTGACGGTGATTCTTTTCTCTCCGCACTTTAAAGATGGCGCTTCCCTCTCCTCTGGATTGTATAGTTTCTGATGAGAAGTCTGCTGTCATTCTTGTATCGGTTCCTTAGTTTCTTCGGCTGCCTTTAAGATTTTCTCTCTGTCTTTGTCTTTCAGTATTTTGAATATGATCTGTTTAAAAAAATAATCCTGCTTGGGGGCCTCTGATCTTTTTGGATTTCTGACTTGATAACCTTCATCAATTTTGTAAAATTCTCAGCCAGTATATCTTCAAATATGTCTTCTAGATTGTTCTCTCTCTGTTTTTTTTTTTGCCTTCTGGGATTTCAGTTACCTGTATATTACACTATTTATATTGTCTTCAGTGTTTTTAAAACTCCTCATCATTGTCATTATCCATGGTCCTCCTCCCTTCTCTGTCCTCTTTGTTCTCTTTCTCTTCCCCTCCTTCTTCCCATCTCTAAATTCTGAAGGTCTGATTCGCACCAAGGGGACAAATGCCATCTGCCTGGCACTGCCTGCAGAGGGAGGCAGCCCCTCTGTGCCCTGGGCAGCGTGGAGAAGGGCATGACTGAGGAAAGAAGGACTTCCTGCTCCCCTACTTGATACTGTAAGTATGTTGTCTATTACCTGATGATTCAAAGTGTGGTCCGTGGACCAGAGCAGTGGTGTCCCTGGGCATTTCTTAGAAACACAGAGGTACAGCCTCACCCCGGACCCATTGAATCAGAACCTGCAACTTAACAGACCCCAGGTCATTTGCATGCACTTTAAAGTTTAAGAGGCACTGCCTGCATGACCAGTGAGGAAAAGCTGGGGCAGCAAAAGCAGCAGGCATGTACAGCAAGCAACATCTGGTGCCACCTGGAGCCGTCAGGTGGAAGGTCAGAAGGTCCCCAGCAGCCTGTGGAGAGGTTTCTCGAGCTGGGGCCGGCTCCATGCCCAGCAGGGCTGTGATCCAGAAGAGGCCCCCTCCCATTGCTCCCCTGGGTAGGGGGTTGTCTGTTCACTTTCTGATAGCATGCTTTGGAACTTTCAAATTTTGATCAAGTCCAATTTAGCTATTTTTTTTCTTTTGTTGCTTGTGCTTCTGGTGTCATATCTAAGAACCTATTGGAACTTCCACTGTCATGAAGATTTACTCCTATATTTTCTTGTAAGAGCTTAAAGTTTTAGCTCTTACATTTAGCTGCTGGATCCATTTTGAGTTAATTTTTGTGTTTGATGTGAGGTAGGGATTCAACTCCATTCTCTTGCATGTGAACAGGCTTTGATTTCTTTGTCCAAAGGATCTCTCTAATTATTGTGTGGAGAACAGACTGTGGGGGCAAGAGGGAGGCAGGCAGACTCACTTCCCACTGTTATGTGATAATCTGTCTCAGAGGGCCACTATTAAAGTTAGAGGAAGTGATTAGAAAACCACCACTTGACAGTGTCACAGTAATGATTTAGGCAAGAGTCATCCGTGGATGCTAAAACTGGTGGGCGCAGGTTTCTTGAGTAACATATTTACAGGGTCTCAAAGAACCTCCCCCCAAGACACTTATGGCAAAGGGTAAAGAATGAACTTTACAGTGAAGAAACCTGGCAGACACCCCTTTGATCAGTAGTAACGTCACCATTAATGGACAAATTGACTTCCTGGGCCTCCTGATAACGATGCCCCCAGAAGAACACAACATCCCCGGACTTCCTGCCCGGAATGAGTGCCCTGCGTAGAATAGTGGCAAAGTATCAGACGACCCCGTCTGAAGGGCATTCTACACAATGGCTGGCTGAGAAAGACCAGAAAGACTGAGGAACGTTCCAGATGAGAGGAGACTAAAGAGATATGACAACAGGATGCAATGTATGGTCTGGGATTTTCTTTGGTGTAAAGGATGTTATCAGGACAGTACATGAAAGCCCAGTTAGGTCTGAGGGCTCGATAGTGACATTGTACGAAAGCGAATTCCAGATTTCGAGTTACTCAACTGAGCACTGCAGATGAGAAAGAGTGTCCTTGTTTTAAGGACACACACACTGAAGTCCTTACAGGCTGAAGGGGCATCGTGTCTGCACGACAACTTGCTCTTAAATGGCGTTGAAACAAAGGTAGAGAGAAAATGAAAAGGCAGCTGTGGGAGAATGTTCACGCTGGAGGTGCCGGGTTAAGGATACACGGGAATGTTTTATACTGTTCTGAGCATTTCTGCAGGTCTGAAATTGTGTCCAAAAAAAGGACTCTTCCCTCTTAAAATGCTCAACGTATCTGAGAGCCTCAGGGAGGGTCATGGATAGGCATTTGGTGCATTGCTCACACCCCACTGCCCGTCTCTCCCACCCCAGGGCCCCTGCATGGTGACAGGAATGATCTTAAACACCAACCAAGCACCTCCTGCTCTTGGCACCCCTGCCATGGCCCTCATGTCGCCCCGCCTTGGGGTTTGCTGCCTTTTCCCCGAGCTGCTGATAAGAACAGCCGCGTCTGTGGGGTGTGTCCTGGGTGCTGGGTATTTTCAACCTTCACATCGACGCTGCTGTTACTCTGTTCTACAGATCAGAAGATGGAGGCTCAGAGACGAGGTGCCGAGTCCGAAGGCAGGTGCGTCCAGCTCCGCTCTTGAGTGGCCTCCTCCCCGTCCCCTGCGTCTCGTTCTCTTGTTCCTTGTCTTTCTTCCCTGCATCAGCTCTTTGAAGGTGGGGCCCTCGTGCTGTTCTGTTCTGTTCCCTGATGTATCCCGAGACCTGGCTCAGTGCCTGCCCCGTGACGGGAATGCAGTAAATGTCTCCTGGAGGAAGGACCATCATGGGGCTTAGTGCACTTAATACGTGGGCGTTGGGGTTGAACGTTGCTCAAATTCTGCTTCTGTTACTGAGAAGCTGTGTGACCTTGGGTAGGTTAGTTAACCTCTCTGGAACACAGTTTCCGAATCTATAAATGCAGATTCTACTCCTGCCGCCCTAGGGGTTGTGGTGCAGATCTACTGGCGCGATGCACGTAAAGTGCTGACCGCAGTGCATGGCGCTGCGTGGACGCTCAGGCCACATTCACTGAGCGAATGAGTGAATGAAAGTTTCAAGCGGTCTGGATCTCTGGGGGCCCAGCTCCTCCTATAACAGTGTTTATTGGGGGGTATATGGAGGGACTTGCTCGGTGACTTGAACTTACTGCAACAGACTATGTGGGACTATCATCTATCCACTTATTTGTGTCTCTGTGTAAGCACTGGGTGGGTGGGGACCCCGCCCCGGTCAGGCTGTACCCCCAGCACGCCCACAGCTGTGGCTCACAGCAGGCAGGCCTGTTTGCTGATTGACTCATGTCGTTTCTCTTCATGACACATTTATTGGGGCTCCCCCTGGGCCAGGCCCTGTACTGGGCTCTGAGCACCTGCCCGTCCTGACTCTCTCTGCCCCACGCCCCGATTTCTTCCCCTGGACCCCCAGCCCGGCTCATGGATGGGCACCCGGGGCCCGGTTGCCTTCCTCCTGGAGCCTGCGCTGGGCTGCTCTTCTGGGTGCTGCCATCTCCTGGCTGAGGAGGCCGGTGCCCTCTGCTCATGGGCCCGTTTGTACCTGACCTTTGAAACGTGCTCAGGCAGCCCCGGCCGTCTCCGTGTTATCGCAGCTCCCGCGGCAGCTAAGCGAGCCCAGGGAGGCCAGTCCAACCTCCTTCCCTCGTGGGCACCCCGTGTCCACATTCGGTTCCTCCCCTGATTGGGACTGAAGAGGCTGAGCGGCTCAGGAGGCCTGCTCTGGGACACCTCCCCGCTGGGCGCTGGCTGTCCCACACCTGCTGGCCAGAAGGTGGCACTGTCCCACACTTTATGGGCCCCGGAGGCGAAAGAGAGCAGAGAAATTCCTGTTTTATCCCCAAAATGCTACTTAAGATCAGGGGAAAGATCGTGGGCATTTGGATCAGTTATCTGGAAGAAAAGAATCCTGAAAATAAAGCGATGAGTACAACCTCCCTTCAGGTTCTGATCCGAGTTCCGTCACTCAAGGACCATCCCAGAGGCGAGAAGAGAGGTGCCAGCTCTGCCTGGAAATCCCGCAGGAGAGGCCGGTGGGGCTGAGCACCCGCTTCTGCTTTTCTAAGTGATTGGGAAGGTGAGTTCTGGGCTGTGCCCCTTGCTGTGTCCCTGGCAGGTCACAAGAGCGCTCTGCGCCTCAGTGTCCTCATCTGAGAAGCGGGGATAAACAGAATCTCCGGGCGCCAGTGTGGGGAGGTTATGGGGTGATGAACATAAAGCACGGCCTGTGCCTGTGGTCTTGGTGGCGCCTCTGACGCACCCCTGTGACCGAGGGGCCTCTGCTGGGGAATGCAAACTCTCCTTGTTGTCTTGGGAGGTGGAGCCGACGTGTGCAGGCCCCTACTGTGCACAGGAAGCTGGGAGGTGAAGCCGACGTGTACAGGCACCTACTGTGCACAGGGAGCTGGGAGATGAAGCTGACATGTACAGACACCTACTGTGCATAGGGAGCCGGGAGGTAGTGCGAACGTGTGCAGGCCCCTACTGTGCGCAGGGAGCTGGGAGGTAGAGCAGACATGTACAGGCACCTACTGTGTGCAGGGAGCTGGGAGGTAGAGCAGACATGTACAGGCACCTACTGTGCGCAGGGAGCCGAGTGTACCAAGATGAATACCCCACCCTGTCTCTCGGACCTCACGGGGGAAAGTGTGTGATCGTCTTTCTGGACCTTCCGGCCGAGGTGCTGCGGGCGCACGGTGGGGGAGGGATCTGATCTGCCGGGGCGCCATGGCATAGCCATCATGGAGGGGGTGACAGTTAGGATTCCTTCCGGGGGGACCTGCAGGAAGGGCATCTTGAGCAGAGGGCACAGCCCAGGCAAAGGCGTGGAGACGGGGAAGCCCCTGAGTGGCCGAGGGTGGGCCAAGGGGCAGTTTGGAGGGAAGGTGTGTGCAAGGTGGGTCCACGTGAGTGTGGACTTCACTCCAGGCCTTTTATTCTGCCTGGGGCCTTCGGGAGGGACGTTTGAGCCAGGCGAAGAAATCCCTTGTGGCTGGGGGACGAAACCAGGTTGCTTCTGTGTTTGTTCTCCCGACACGTGGGGAGAAGTGCCCTGGAGCCGCCCCGGGGTTCTTCTCAGAGCCCAGAGATCACGGCCTTCACCGTATAAACAGGGAAGACGCCCCAGTTCCTGAAATCTCCTCTCCAGTCGCTCACCTCCCGCTCCTTACTGCTGTGTCCCCTCCTTCTCAAGGCCCAGGTGCCTCTTCTCTGTCCCTCTAACGCCCTCCAGCTCCTCACTCAGCAAAAGCCTCCCGTGCCTGCCTCTGCATTTCATCTCCAACCCGCAGAACTCGCAAGGATGCAGGAGGTGGGCCCACCAACTCACCTTCCTGCTTTCTCTGCTCTTTCCTTACCCTCCTAGGCCCCCCACAAGTTGAAGTTTGTCAAAGCCCATTTTGAATCTCCTAGGTATTTTTTTTCTTTTTTGATGAGGAAGAGTGGCTCTGAGCTAGCATCTGTTGCCAATCTTCCTCTTTTTTTTTCTCCCCAAAGCTCCAGTACATAGTAGTATATGCTAGTTGTAGGTAATTCTTCTATATGGGACGCTGCCACAGCATGGCTTGATGAGCATGCATAGATCCACACCCAGGATCTGCATTGTGAACCCAGGCTGCAGAAGCGGGGAGCACGAACTTAACCACTACAACACAAGCCGGCCCCCTCCCAGGGTTTGATCTGGAGGACCATGTAAACAAAGGTGAGAACTCAAGGGTCGCTGTGGCTTATGGTCCCTCTGTTGTTTCTCTGCAGAATGCGCGCCAGCCAACAGCAGTCGCCATTCTTAGGGGCTCCAAACACACGCACGTGCCGCCTCGCAGCCCCTCCTGCTCTGATGCTGGGGACGCTCCGCCGTCAGCCATGGCAGCTTGATTTACTGTGGCTGGGACAGCGCCAGGGCTGTTCCGGCTCAAGATGGGGCGTCAGGCCTGCTATCTGTGTCCCGATGGGACCAGGAGCCATCCCACCGGTGGAAGCACCCTTGAGTGCCAGTGTTTCAAGGTGAAGAAAGGGGCCTGGTGACTGTCCCTAATCACGGAACCCTGTCACGGAGTGCTGGGGGCACGGGGCCCAGCGTCGGCCCCGCAGAACAACATTTGGGTTTTCACACTCGACGCTGAAAAGCCATTAAACGGAAAGGAAACCGGTGCCCTGCCCGCCAGCCGCCGTCCCGGCCCTCACAGTGCCGCTTTTGTTCGGGGTCCGGAGTGTAAAATTGGAGTGGCAGATTGTCGGCGCGTCCATTGCGAATTTCCTGGCTTTCATCAGCTGCGCCACTCAAATGACAGTATTTAATCCCAAATGTTTCCTTCCCTTCCCCTGCCCCTCCGTTTCATAAACCAGGGGGCCTCCCCCCACACTCGCAAAGTAGACTCCGCTTCCATTTCTTCAACCAGAATGAAAAGTATATTTATGATTTTTCTCTCGTATATTTGCAATTACTCAAAACCCCCCTGAACACGTTCCGGGCGGGGCCTTGCCCAGGAGAACTCGACTTCCTGGGTTTTTGTGTAACGGGAGCATCTTTTTGCTAACGTCTCCGCCCCCGCTAACCATTTTATGAGGTCAAATCACACATTGTACCTCCGGGGGCGGGATCCTGGAGCGACCCGTCCATGCCATTTTATTCTGTGGGCTGCGGCTGGGGTTACACTGCCCATCAGTTGAGTCAGGCAGTTTTTCTATCATTTGGGGGTTTTTCATCGTTGTTATTTTATTAAAGAGTGATTTGCCCTTGATAGGAGAATTCGCCATCTGAAATTTAAGACTTGAACTTTCTTTCTGTTGCTTGGTAACTTTGTAGGAACAACCACTCAGCAGGGTGGCCCTGGTGAGACAACCGCTGAAAGGTTTCAATACCATCGTGTGTGCATTTTCCGATGGATACACATCCACGTGTGGATAAAATCGTCGCTTACATTTTGCGTCGTGCACTGGAGCATCCCCGTAACGTTTCCTATAAAGCAGGCAGCATGTGGTCCTGTCTGTGACGAGGCACTTTGGGGTGAGAAGGAGCAAGTGTGACACCTGCTTGTGTCTCAGCGGTGGCTGTGTGGAGTGCGCAGCCCCGAGCCGGGTCTGACGCCTGAGTCGGTCTGATACCTGAGTAGGATCGGATCTCTGGCCGAGATCCCCATGGGCCGTGTGACAGTCAGTTTGACGTGTGGACTCAGCCAGGCTGTGGTGCCCAAGTCTTTGACCCCACCCTAATCTGAGTGTTGCTGAGAAGGCTTTGGGCAGATGTGGTCAACCCCTACGACCAGTAGCTTTCAGAGACCCGGATAATCTGGGGGGGCCTCACCCAATCAGGTGAAGGGCTTAGGAGCAAAATCCGAGGTTCCCCTGAGACGAGGAATTCTGCCTCAAGACAGAAGCATCCGCTCCTGCTGGAGTTTTCAGCCTTCCGCCAGCCTTACAGGTTTCGGGCTTGCCCGGCCCGACAGTCCGGCGAGACAGTTCCTTAAGACGGATCCCTTTCAGAGCTTCTCTCCCCTGTTGGTTCTGTCTCTCTGGGGAGCCCTGATCCGTACTGGCTGAGACCCACAGGGATGTCAAGCCTGAGCCACGTAAGAGGACAGCAGTCTTGGCCGCTGAGGGTCTGCGAAAATCAGAAATGAGCTTCTCTGGCCCTCTTTCGGACCTTCTCGGAATCTTGAGTTGTTTTCCAAGGAGTGTGTGTGTGTGTGGGGGGGGCCAGTGACATGTGACATGGACGTGCAGGACACGCATCACCGCATGTGCACCTACATCAGGTGAGACCGGCTACACACCTGCGTTCACGGCCATGGGCGGGGGGTCCCAGGAGACGGCTCCTCTGGCGGTGGACTTCCGGGGTGGACCACGGGACTCCTTATGGACACGGACGGAATAATACCGATGAGCCTGGAATACACACTAGGGGTTTGTAGTGCCGTGTTGTGCAGCAGAGCAGAAGTCGTCCCGCTGGACTCCCACTCACGTCGCCCACCCCGGCTTTCCACGAGCTTGAAGCAGAGCAGGCTGTTGGCTCTTCCGGGCTCAGTGTGCGAAGGGCTCAAATCAGGACCTGCCCTTCCAGTTCTGGGGAGCGGATGCCTTGATGCAGGCGAGGCCCTCAGGAAAGTGCCCCACTGTGGGACACCACGTAAGGACATACGCTTTCATTATTCAAATGACCAGTTCCTGCCCTACCACTGGAGTTGGGCTCAAGCCCCAGCACCACCACAAACAAGCTCTGTGGCTTTAGGTGAGTTCTTTGACCTCTCTGAGCCTGGTGTGTAGAAGGGAGGTGAGGAGCCCATAGGCTCGCTGTAGTGATTAAGTTAAAAGTTGGAAGAACTGGGGGCCGGCCCGGTGGTGTAGTGGTTAAGTTCTGCTTCAGTGGCCTGGGCTTTGAAGGTTCAGATCCCGGGCGTGGACCTAGCACTGCTTGTCGTGCCATGCTATGGCAGCGTCCCACATAAAATGGAGGAAGATGGGCATAGATGTTAGCTCAGCGGCAGTCTTCATCACGCACACACACACAAAACAAAATGATGGGAGAGCTGTCTGGTATGCCGCCCAGCCTGTAGGGAGCTCCCAGATGTCAGTGTGCTGCTGTGCCGGGCACTGCATGATTTGTGTGTTGTCGGGGCCCGACCCGGGTGAGGACAGTGAGGCGCCAGCATGCACAATTGCAGGTAGTGCCCGCCGGACCCGGCACTTGCATGATCCTGTGTGTGAGCGCCGCCTCAGGCCGTGCACCCTCGGCACCTCGCTCCCCTCTCCCTAATCCTGGCCCCCACCCTCCCGTATAAATGCCGTTCCAGCTTCGCCAGGTAAGGGGTGGGCCCGCCTCACAGGGCAGGACAGAGGCCCGCAGAGACGCCAAGCCTGCCCTGGCACCTGGGGTGTGAGCTCTCGGAAGGCGGTGGTGGCCCCTCGTTCGTCTCACGAGACTGCATCCGGCGCCCAGCACCTAGTGGGTGCTCCATTACTGCTTACAAACATGGAATAAGGGAAGCAGAAGCCGAGGGGGATTCAGACTCCGACATGCTTTCCCACGATGGAGGCCGGGCGCTCCAGCGGCCATCGGCAAGGGGGTCCAGCGGAGGGAGGACTGAAGAAGCCGCTCTGTGCTCTCCGCATGGAGAGCCTTGTCAGGAGGGACCGTCTCCCACTGTGGGGGGAGCACGCCTTCAGGATGGCCCTAAACTAGGTCCGGACAGAAGGCCACGTGCCGTAGGACCCCATTCACATGAGTGTCCAGAATAGGTAACTCTACGGAGACAGAAAGCCAGGAGTTGCCGCGGCTCGGGGGAGAGGGGCGGGCAGGGCCTGCCGATGGGTTCGGGGTTTCCTTTTGGGCTGATGCAAGTATCTTGGGGCTAGACAGAGATGATAGACGCACCGTCCTGTGAATGTACGAAATGCCACTGAATTGTACACTTAAAAATGGTCAACGTGGCAAATTTTATGTCATGTGTATTTTACGCCCCCCCCCCCCCCCCCCCAACACACACGCTGGATTCAGCAGGACTTTTGGAGTGTATGTGACAGAAACAAGATTCAGATAAAAGGTGAGTTAAGTCGGCTCAGGGAAGTGAAGGTGGGGTTGAACAACCAAACTCCAGGAAGGGTCTCGCACACTCATGACTCCACTCCATCTTCATTTCTGCCTCTCTGCCTCCATCTCCATCCTCCATCACTGCCACCAGCTGCCTCCACCTGGTGGGAAATATGGCCACCGAGACCTCAGGTGCTGGGGCCGGCCTGAGTGCTGGGGGCTCCTCCAGGACCATGGCAGCTTCTAATGGGACCACGTGGTTAGTTGGGGGGTAAAGCAGCCCCCAGAAGACAGCTGAGTGTCCGGGCTGGGGGGCCCAGCATTTCAGAGCCATGCGCCCCACATCATTGGCCAGTGGGTGGCCGGGCACCACGTCTCCACTCTTTTGGAGTAAACGTCCCTCAGCAAAGTCACATCTTCTCATGGGACTTCCCTCTCTGTGTCGTCTTCAGGCTCGTTTAGAGCGACGATCGTTTCCTCCCCTCCAAGGCCTTCCACGGGCTTATGGAAGGCGGGACTCGGGCAGAGTTCACCAAAGCAGCGCAGGCCCCACCTGGGGAGGTGTGGGGAGGGGCGGGGGGCAGGGAGGAGCCGGGCACCCGGGGCAGTGGGGCTGCAAGGCAGAGAGGGGGATGAGGAGAGTGGGGAGATGCTTCCCAGATCAGCCTGAGTGTTCGCGTGGGGTCAAGACGGTGGAGTAGGCCCCCACCGGGCAGTCCCTATGGCCTGGGGGCTATCTCTGGGCCACGGAAACTTACAGTTTTGATCCTCTGAGCTGATGTGACACCATGAGCGTGGGCGTGAGTGTGGGGCGGGTGTCATGGGGGTCCACCAGTCACGAGCAGAGACGAAGGGAGGGGTCTGGGCGGTTGCTTTTCTAGTTGCTGGAACATCTGTTCAGCTTTTGACTCGAAGCCAGAGGGAGATCTCCCTTCCTGATCCCCAAAGATGGCTTCCCTCCTGTTCAGGAGAGAGATGGTGAGAGCTCAGAAACAAACAAACAGAGAGCCCAACTTCAAACGTGGCTGCTGGCCCGGGGGGGACATTTCTTCCCCAACCTTAATTTTGGGATTAATTTGTTTTAGAAGTTCCTCTGCTGCTGTTGTGTGTGTGTGTATGTGTGTGCACGTGTGTGCAGGTGCTTGTGTATATGAGTGCAAGTGTGTGTGTGTGTAAGAAAAGAAACACTAGGGAGAAAACGTGTCCTGTTCTTCTGAAAGCTGCTGCTGGCCTGGGCTGGCCGTCTGCATCTTGAGGAGAGCGCTCACTTGCGGCAGCTTCTCTCCACCACGGCCTCCGCTGAAGGAGCCTTCGGAGGAGCGACAGGGCCTGGGCGACTCCGAGCCTTGTTCCCATGGTGGCTCCGTGCCAGGACTGTCCTCACCTGCGCATTGTGAGCATTTTATTATTAACCCAAAGTGATCTTGCTTAATAAAAACACAGAGGCAGGGGCTGGCCCCGTGGCCGAGTGGTTAAGTTCGCGCGCTCTGCTGCAGGCGGCCCAGTGTTTCGTCGGTTCGAATCCTGGGTGCGGACATGGCACTGCTCGTCAGACCACGCTGAGGCAGCATCCCACATGCCACAACTAGAGGAACCCACAACGAAGAATACACAACTATGTACCGGGGGGCTTTGGGGAGAAAAAGGAAAAAATAAAATCTTTAAAAAAAAAAAACAAAAAAACAAAAAACACAGAGGCAAAGGCTGGGAGCTCTCCGATTTCCAGCTTCGGCCGCTTTATTATTATTCATTAAGACATAATAACGCACTGTGCTGATTGTTCCATTGGTTCCCGCTCCTGGAGGTGGGGAGTCAGTGCTGCACGGCTTTCTCCTCCAAATTTATTAATTTTAATTTCAGATTATGGGTCACCAAAGACTCTTTTTCTTACGATTCTTGAATTCTTGTGATTCAGTCGCGGGTACTAGTCATACATGAGTCTCGTTTTTGTTTTTCTTCTTTTTTGTGGGGGCGAGTTCTTTATTACTTTATAGATTATAGATTATACAAGCCATGCAAAAATATATTTCCAGGGTTAAAGATTCGAATGATTCTGAAGTTCCGAGCAAAATGGGCTGCCCCTTCGCTCCACGGGGAATCAGCTAAACGGTGGGGTGTCTCCTTCCAGACGTCCTCCGAGGGGCTGACCTATGTGTCTGGATAGTAAGACTTCCGTCGTCTCGTGCTGCATCCGTGGAGCAATTCTGTGTGTATTCACTAGTTCAACTAATATTGCTGAGCACCTGCTGTGTGCCAGGAGTGATGCTGGGAGTCGCGCATTCAACAGTGAGCAAAGATGGCCCCGCCATCACGCAGCTCACAGGCGGAGGGCGTGATGTGCTGGGACTCAATTTTCCCCTCCCGTTTAACAAAATATCCAGGTCTCCTCTCATGGCCAACCTCATACGCCTGCCCTGTAGTCTTCAACGTCTAGAGGTAACAAAATTCTAGAGGAATTTTCATGGGCATCAAACTGAGTTCCAATTGATCTGCCATCATGGAATGAAGCAATGAAGGTCTTTGTTTGCACCTCTTTGTGCACCTGGGTGTTTTACAAAATTTCAAGAGTCTTTGGATGGTGAGACACACAGGAGACCCCCAGATAGAGGAAACTCCCATTTGAATACTGCGTGATAGTTTCCAAAACAGTCTCCAAGTACAAGGTCTCATGGAGTCTTCACTACCAAGCTGGGAAGCAGGTACTGATAATTTGACCATTCTACAGATGTGGAAGGAAACCAAGGCTCAGAGAGGTCAAGATGCAGGCCCAGGGTCACACAGCTCTGAAGTAGCAGGGCAGAGCCTTGAACTCAGGCTTTGTGATGCTTATCCGAGAACTCTCCATTTCAAGATGTCTGGAATCTGGCTTCTGTACTCAAGGTGTGATCCGTGCCCCACGCGAATATCTCTGGGGGTCGTCATAAATCTGAAGAGCAAGCGCATACGCATCTCCAACCCTTGACAGAAAGTGTTTTCTCTTCGCCTCCAGTAGTCGGTTTCATACCTGGAGCAAGGGCCCTCTCCTTTTCCAGGGGTGCTAAGCCACGACTCCCTTGGAACGTTATAATATCACAGTATGGACGATCTCCAAACGTTCCTCGTCTGCATCTCCCAGCCCTGTCGTCTGGAGAAGCGAGGACCATTCCAGAGAGGGAAAGACGGCCTTTGAATCATGTTGTCAGGCACGTCACTCTGCTTGAGTTATTTTTCTTGAAGGCGAACACTTTTCAATAGTCCGAGGCCGGGGTCTGTCACTTGCCAGAGCTCTTGACGTGTTGCTGTTTTAAAAATTAAGCACATGGAGTTTGCAGAATGGACACGGCCTTTCAGGCTTTTAATTTAAGGTTTAAAAAGTGCTTTCACGCTGTGATCCCCGGGGACAGGAAAGGCTGTTTGTTCTTTCCCTGGGCCTCCAGGAAATCTGGCCCTGACCACCTACGGGAAACCAGCCCGAGACCTCAGCGTAGCTGGGAGGCCACAGCGCCTTCTTCTGCACCTCGGCCCACAGTTCGCACTACATAATCTAATCTTTCAAGGATCTTTTCCTCTGGAGAGGCAGGGAGCTGAGTAACTAAACAGACACAATGCTGCTAATCCCTCCTTCCTGGGGCTGAAGGCTTTAACTCCTTGCCTTCTGTTTAAGGCCGTGAGCTCAGAGCGGGCTGCTGGGATCCACAGCAGAATTTTATAAAAAGCCTTTGGTTTTGTACTCTGCACCAGCGGGGTAAT